ATTTATTTTGTTACGTCAAATCTTTTAATTTTGTAAAGAATCGTAATATGTTGGAGCAAAATATTCGAATCCATTGCGATCTAATTACATTTGAGAATTTTTTTTGGAGGGGAGTAATGATCAACTCGTTTTCTGAATTAATGAATATTTTCTACTCTCTCTCTACTTTATATCCCACACTTTATCTGAATTACCCAACATTGATTGATTGATAACATTTTATTACCATAAAGTAGTTCTTTACTCGCCCTATAATAATTAAGATTCGACAGAAAAATGAATTTTGACTCATTTGTTTTTTGTGTCATAACTACTCTAAAATTTCTACTTCCGAACTTAAAATGATATATTATGTTTAAGGGACCATTCTTGAAAATGTCGTCTTATCTGATACGCCGAGGAAATTTCTCTGCTTATTTGCCGATAATTATGAAATACTATTTCTGCATTGCCTTTTTCTAAAAACAAATCTAATCCTTAGTGAAGGCGTTAAGGTCATTTTATTGACATAAACTGCGAGAGATCAGGCCTACTAGAGATATTGTTCTAGAATTTTACTCGTAATGGTGTTATTTATCCTGAACACTCGTATTTTTAACAAAACGAAAAATTCCCTTGCTGATGAATTTTCTGAAAAATATCAGACAAAATTTTATAATAATGATATCGAAAGAATCACAGAGCAGTCTACTACGAGGCATGCTTTGATCCGAAGAGCACGTTGATGATGCAAGAGGCATGGGTTGATTCCAAAGCAACTGGTACGCAAACAACGCTCAGCCCAAAGAATTCGCATGGAACAGAAGCGCCATTCTTGGAAACTGATTCCAATGATCAGAAGGCGTGCTGCGACATCAAGAATCCATCATTTTTATTTAATCTCAACACCGATATTCTATGTCTAGACATAAAACACACAGGAAGAAAGCATTTCTACGTTCGTACCACGCTAGTGAGTGGCACATCATGCGACATGCCGAACAGGATATTTCCGATGCAAGCGTTGATGTTTTCGTTGTAAGTTAAATACACAATAAAGAAAACAGACTCCCATGTTGCTATTTAAAAAATATGGTTTAGATTTGTAGAAACTACTGCAGCTTGTTTGACACGGAGAGATGAAGTATACTGTAAACGGAAAATACACTTTAAAAATACATTCTTAAAACAAAATATGGAGGAAGCACACTTTGTTAGTTGTTCTTGGTTGAATGTGTGGTAAAATTTGTACTCTTTTTACTCACTGTTGAGTATTAATAGGTGTCTATAAGTTATTATATTACGATAATAATATGAATATTCTATTTTTTTATTATTTATATATTCTAATATTGGTATTGTGATATTGGTATTATATATTCTAAAATATTTTAGACTCGCCATTTCGTGTAGTAAATGACCCAACTTTTGTAAATAGTATTTTTTTTACAACGTACTTGGTGATTAGATGTATACAAAGTTGCAATATGTGAAATTAGAGGTAAAAGTCTGGAGCCTTATTTCTTCTTGTGAACTGTTCTTACAATAGTAACCAATCAATGCTTCAAACAGAAATACCTGTAAAGAGCACTCCAGTCCGAACATGCGATTTTCTTGCGGGCCGTTTCACATTCAGCTCCACCCACGCCTGTTCACCATCATCGATCGACTCCCTGCTCTTCAACTAATCCAAGAATGACAATAAAAATCGGTTCACTAACTAACAAACTAACTAGGACAAGGGTCATTAAGAAAAGTGTACTCACCTACCTTACCGTCGATTTACTGGAAATGTGTTCGCAAGAGGGCAAATTTCGAATTTACTGATCGTTAACTTTACTAAAGAACGTTTACTTATAAAAGAAGAGGGGGATATTAAATTGAATTTTCGAAGTCGGAAGGAGTAATTTCAGGCGCATTTGTTTTAGACTCGAGGATCTCGCAAATTAAATGGCTTGATAAGCGATTCGTTACGAGGCTTGTAAATTAATCGGTAGCGAGCGGCAAAAGGAGAAATAATTAGCGACGTACAGTTTATTTAATGACCCTCGTTTTGCTACTCTACGCCATCTAATTAACTATGCTGTCTAGACTACGCCAGTCGACGGCGGGGGCGGGCCCCCGCGGCGCCGCCGAGCGCGGCGGTCAGAAGCTGCCGCCCGAGTGGAAGAAGGGCTTCGCACAGTGCTCAGAGAGTGTGAGAGAGAGAGAGAAAAAAAACCAGAGAGATCGAGAGAGCGGTTTATGAAAAGTCGGAGGGCGAGGGGGGGCGGGCGGTTTATCTCTTGTTTTACTGCGGCGGTTGCTTTTTAGACGGCGGCCGGCGGGCCCCGGTCCGCGGGCGTCCCCGTCGGCCGAGGGAGCGTCCGCGGTCGGGGGCCGGCGGCGACGGCGGCGGCCGGGGCACTCGGGGCTCGGCCGGCGCGGCCTACCTGAATATGAAGATGAAGAGGATGAGCAGCGAGAAGAAGACGGCCACGTTGTCCATGGTGCGCAGCATGACGAAGAGCTGCCTGCGCAGGTTGGGCATGAAGCGCACCAGCTTGAGGATGCGCAGCAGGCGGAAGGTGCGCAGCACGCTCAGGCCCGAGCCCGACGAGGAGCCCGGGCTCTTGGGCGCGTCCGTCAGGTACAGCTGCGCCATCTCGACCACGCTGCGCGCCCAACCAGCGCCCCCACCCCCCGCGTCAGCGTCGCACGCCCCCGCACGCGCGCGCGCGCGCGCGCACGCGCGGCGAAGGCGGCGGCGGCGGCCACGGCCACGGCCGGGCGGGCGGCCCACCCCGGATGCGACCTGGCGCCCCCCACAAAGCCTCCGCGGAATCCACGCGCGCGCATTGGCCTTGGAAGGAACCATCACCTCTTCCCAAATCTTCCTAAATCATTTCGTGTTTCAACCACTATTCAGTACTTTAATCAATTTCGTCTCATTTGAAACTATTTCAAAATGAATATAATGTAGCGTCGTGCCACGCTCAAACCGCCGGATGTTAAACAAAGGGCGGAGTGATGACGCATTGGGACTTTCCATGGACGTAGCAGACCCAAGCCGATCCGGTGGCCGAGATCGCTAAGGCAGTAGTGCCGTAGCGATCTCGTACCGAAAGATCGTGGGTTCGAGTTCCACCTCGGGCATGGTTGTATTGTGTTTGTCCTTTCAGCCCCTATCATCATCATCATGTCAGGGAAGGAAACGGGAAACCACCCTAAATAATTTATCCCAAGAAAACCCGTTACGGGTCACCTAACTTCCGTATATGGAAGATAGGACCAAAGAAGAAGCAGCCCAAAGCGGCTTTGGGGAGGAGGCAATGGGGACGGCGGGTAGAGCCAAAAGGGCCTGTATAAGGCCAGGAAAACAATGACCCAGTCTTCTTGTGCTAGCGGCGTCGGCGACGGGTGAAGCGCGTGTCTGTGCGTGTAGGTGCACTAGGGGTCGGAAATTCATTGTCGTGACTTTCGAGACGCGTAGATGGTCTCGAAGTAGAGCGGCTTCATACAGGGAACATCTGTGGTATGTTGCGGTGTGGTAGCCGTTCTTAAATTATCTCTCTTGTAGTGGGTCTATTTATTTAGTGTATTGTGAGCAGGGTAGTTGTTAAATTGAGACTACGGTCTAGATTGTTAATAAATCGACTGTTTTACAAACTACTCTCGTCTGTGTTCGATTACACCCGTATGACGCCACAATTAGCAATTAGCACACCTGTTTTGTTTGTGAAACTACGAAATTAATACGCGGATATTGTGTTGATTTATACCCAGAATCGATCAGATGCAATTTTTATTTAAAATATTTATTTGGAAAATAGACTCTAATTTACACACGTATTTGCGCTAAAAATATAAAGACAACGAATTCTTAAGTTATCGCATGTGATGATGCCGGCACGAATTACATTTAAAAGCAACGTTGATATAACTGCAACAAAAATACATTAGTTGCCCCAAGTTATATGATGATAACATACGCTGAAAGAACAGAGAAGCGAATAAAAAGTGATATTGAAGCCTAGAATTTAAAATATATAAATTAAAAGAAAAAACTCACTATGAAGCATTTATATTTTGTCTTTACATTTTCATTGTAAATGTAATTAAACAAACGCTTATTTAATTAAACCGAAAATGATTCACAAATTTAGTGAAGAATCTGTGAAATATTTTTTGAATCTCATTAAAATTTGATTCTCATTACTTCCAAAACCAATGCTGCAAGTCGATTTTGCTTCGTTACTTTAGTTTTAGGCGCCATTTTACAATTCAAATGGCAAATGAAACAACTTGCATCGTTCATTGTGCTTCTGAAATGATACGTCACACTCCCAACTTTTTCAACTTCCAATGTTAAGTTTCCTCATGCACAAAATAAGAAATTACTAAACTTAGTTTTTTCATTATTTTGAACGAAAATTACGCGCGTTAAGTATGTTAAAACTAAGGAGTATAAGATTTAACAACAGCAATTGAATGTTAATTAGAAAAAGAATTAACAGACCGAATCAAAGATAGATAATACAATTACATAAGAATTCTTCGACTTTTAAAGCTAGTAGTGCATTTCTACGGAAAAGTCTTAAAACGGTGAATTAGTATTGTAAAAGAAGTTATTGAATAATAATTTGTCACATATAAAAATAACAAAAAACGAATGCAGAGACAACAATCATGTTCAAATATCAATTTAGTGACTTTTTGGGAGCAACGTTTGAATCTGAATACTGCTGTTGTCGTTCAGAATAAGTTCAAATTTGTAGAAAAAGCTATTGGTTACATGAAATAAATATCCTTTAATTTAATATAATTTCGAGTATTTGAAACAATAACCTAAAAGTAAATGCTTCTGTTAGTTTGGGCTGACACAGATACTCGTGAGACGACGCGAGTACTCTCCAATTTGTGCATTTTTCACTGTCGCGTAAAGTCGTCATGAATGCGACGTATCGACTGCGCAGCAATGATCGACCTCAGCGTTTCAAATGCGATTGGTGGGACGCATCTTGAGCTGGCCTCCCCGCCCCTCTCCGTACGGTCAAACACCGGCGTCGACGTATCGGCCAGTCTCGGAAGGAATCGTCGAGCACCGACAGAACACAAGCAACACTCACTACTCGTCCCTCGGGATCTCCTAAGGGGATTGTTGCAGCAAACGCAAATGCGGTACGGAGACAGCGCACCGATCTTCACCTACAACTACCCCCGTTTCAATAAGAACAGGACTACTTCAAACTATAGTACACGACTACGTTTCTGGGAAAGTTCTAACAGGAAAGTTCTACTTTGAATACTAAAAGAAGGAGCAAACTTAAAATTCGAAACTGTTTTTATGCGAGAAGGAAAGTGAAAGAAATTCTAAGATTTTCCTTGATACTAATAAAAAAACATCGAACTACATCACACACTGATTTTACGACACTTAACATTGAAGACAGGAAACATAGAGAGGTATACGCGATTCAAAAAGTACGTTGCACTCAATTTTCTTTTAAGACACAGTATCACACTGTCTTTTTAAAACAAGTATATTGAAGGATGAAAGTTAAAATTGTTTCGGTTCTGCGTATGTTAGTAGAAATCGTTCAGAATAGCAAATCAGCTGGATTTCAAATATAGAACTTTAAACAAAGGAATATTCTATAGGGGGAATTACATTGCTTTTGCTCATTAGAAGTTTGCGTGTGATTATAAAATGAAAGTAATGAATTAACTCAATGTATTTCATATTCTTAATGTCCCTATACGATTTAAGTAAAGTCTATTGAGTTTGGTCTCGGAAATAAAAATCTCATGATGAAAAATGTGTTAATAAATGTTAATGGAAGCAATATAATAAGTTTGTTTTATTCAGTACAATTATTTATTATTATTAAAAAACTTGAAAATTATGACTTGAGATGCTATTCAGATGACGATTGCCAATGAATTTTTTTAAGTTTCTTGAGTAAGGATTTTAATTCTTGTATATTTGTTCATCGCAATACAAAAAGCAAGGAAAAACAAATTTAATATTAATTTAAAATTTTATTTGTATTTTCTTTAAACCGAATGATAATAGTGATAGTTAAAGTACTGCATATTTATTTTGTCATAGAGTGCAACGTAGTTTTCAATTCGCATTCAAGCCAAATGCCATGGAGACCAAATGGAACTGTGCTCCATGAACGCCTCTGTTACTTTCAGTAGTAAGGAAAATTTCCGAATTAAGAGTAAGTAATTACCTTCATTATTTTACAGATAACCTTTGGCATACAAAAAATCCTGTAATAAAATTCTAATATTTCCTAATTTCATCATATTGCAGTGTTTGAAATATAGAAGAGGATTCTTGGGACGCGAATGTATATACAGATTGGTATCGTTGATCACAATAAAATATGCGTATCCATTGCATTGCGAACACGTACAATTTTGATGAAACAGAGAAGTTCAGTGTTTGTTTTCATTAAACATTTCTCAGTAATACTATAATACTCACTAATATTGAGTATTATAAAGAAAATGTGTAGTGTTAACATGTGGCAGATGCAAATAAACTACGAATTAGACACTGAAAAATATGCTTGGGGCACATTTACTTCTTATCGATTTATACACATGTAAGAATACGCACAAAATACCTAACCATAAATAAGGGAATAAAAATATTAATTTTTAACATATGAACTCACAATATATGTGCATGATTTATGAAGGTTTAATATCTTATACTTAGTACTATAAACCGAACCATTAAATTTAGAAGAATATTGAATAATAACACATGCACACATTTCCTGACGAAGCAATCAGAAATCGTTTGTAAATGTGTTTCTTGTAACGAGTATGGGCTTCATCCATTGTTTGCAGCTACAGAGACGTTCATGATGTGCGGTTCTATTTAGTCGACACGGCTTTTTTATGAACAAAAGGTTTCAAGGCACATGTGCCCAATAGGAAAGACAAAATGGATGGGATGGATACGGAATAACGTGGTATTAGAATTTAGGCGCAAGGAAGAAGATTTAGGCGGTGTCGTAGCTGGAAGTTTCGACTCCATAATCGATGAAGCGAAGGAAAAATACTTCTTCTGTGAATTTTAATGTAACTATAGTCTTCTGTGTTCACTGATGATATTACCAATGCGATAAATTTCATAGTCCCATAGTGAATGTTACAACGATTTTCGCCAACGTTAGTTTAGCGAATGAGGAACTATGCATAAAAGTATTGATATTTAAAAAAAAATTGGCTGGTTGCTTATTTTTACAGGGCAACTAAACGAGAGAACGATGTAGTCTTGAGAGCCAAAAGAATGAAATATATAGTACTTTTTGTACTCGTTCATTGGGCTATCTCTTCTCGTTCGCTTACAAAGACGAAGCGTCTTGAGAGATTGTTAGATTATTGTGATAGCTCGAATCTGCAGACATTTTCAGTCTTCATCCGATTCAAAACAAATCTTCTGTTTTAATATGATTCAACTCCGCAACTTTGGCGTCAGTACACTACAACGATCGCGTTTGGTCTCATCAACTGCGATTCCTCGATTCCTTCATCTGGCGACGTCGCGGCTGGTGTCTACACCACGCCGGCGCCTCGAACAGCAGGGCCATCTTCTCCCCGTGATCACCAAAACGGCCCAAAGTCTGCGCGTCCATAGGGACCTCCCACTGGGCCTGCACGGCGGAGACGACCTCTCCTCTGGGGAGGGCCGAACAGCGCGTTCTAAGGATGGACGTCGGGGTTGTGGCGTCTAGTGATGCAATCGGAGGAGTCGATTCAGGAATCACCAGGAGACGAAAAATTAGAAGAGGATTGGAGGTCTGTGAACATGGGATGATGAATGATAATAAATGGCTGAGAAGAGGTAGATATGGATCAAATTGGTTAAATGAAGCTGAGTAGATAAATTGGTCAAAAGAAACGATCAAACTGAGCAATATGGTAAGGAATTATGGGGATACAGAAATGAAATCGGTATAAAAACACATGAAAAATTATCTTTCAGAAATTTCTACTCGAAAACTAGGGAGGATAAATGTGGATGTGTAGATGCAAATGGAAAAAGATAAGGAAACATCAGAGCTGTGGATGAAATGGAACCTTGGACGCTGAAAGGAGGTGAAGTTAACAACTAAGAACAGCAAACCGGGGACGAATACGAGATTGAAAGACGAGAGAGACAAGCAACTGGTCAGGCGTCCAACGTCAATGCTGAGATCGTAAGAGTAGGGGCACAAGTTTGAGTGGCAGGTAGAAGAGGAGAAGCAGGGGGGGGTGATCATTGGCGGGGGTGCGCAATGAAGATACGGCGAGCATGCACAGAAACGTCCGCGCGGGTACACCTGAGAGACGAACGATGACGCCTAGCTTCGAAAAACGTTGAAGCCGTCAGCGCCACGTAGAACAAACCGGAGGATCCTTCCCGCGATCACCTTCAGAAGCATCTCCACGGCAAACACCGCCGAGAACACGATGTTGCTGATCTCCACCGTCACCGTCAGCTCCTCCGGCTGCGCAGAAAGCCAGGGCGCGCCTCGCTCGCTCCAGTCGCCCCACGCGACTGCAAGGGCTCAACGCTATTCTTAGCCTAGAGTATCACGGAAACGTACCCAACACTGAAAAATAAAATTGTAAGAGTTCATATCGAAATACCTAAAAGGATCGCACTCTTAACGTTTGCTTGCCCTAAAAAAAGTACAGAAAGTCTCAAGGCGATCAACGCTATTCTTAGCCTAGAGTATCAACGAAACGCACCCAACACTGAAAAATAAAATTGTATGAGTTCATATCGGAATACCTAAAAGGATCGCACTCTTAACGTTTGCTTACCTTAAAAAGAGTACAGGAAAAATAATCGTATTAATAAAAATATAACGTTTTATTTCTTCACGGCTTGAATTAAAGTACTAATTGAATAGAAGGAAAATTCTACATTCGTACCGTTTTATGGATTACCTTACCTTGATGTCGTTAATATAGATATTTATGCTGATTAAAAAATGAAGGTTATTAGCAACGAGAAATAGGATTGGAAATGGGATAACATTTCTAATACTAATATCAGATACTATCAATGGAAAGCATTCTCATGACACTTATTAGAAAAATGATAGTAATGAAAAGTAGTATTGAACCAAATTATAGTATCTCAAAGAACATACTAAACATTTTTAATATTTGATGTCTTTTTTTGGAATGTTTTTGTGTGTAATCACCTTTAACCGTATAAAGTGGTCCCACCTACACAGTGTACAGTGAAATTTCAATGAAATATTTGTAGTTATTCAGATCTGGAGGAAAAGTACAAAGCTCAACTCATTTTTGATATGGCATAAACATTTACTTATTTTACTACCTATTACTTATTTCTATTTCACAAATAAGATTGGTTAGTTTACTTGAATTAATCGTACTCTTAAACTAATTTTCAAGAACAGTATGAAACGTAGGCTAATTAAATTTTTGTGAATGACTTAAACATAGACTGTCAAAGCACATTACTAACGCACAAATTTTCAGTTTCTATCTACAATTTCAAAGCAAGAAGTGCAAATAAGAAGGATAAAGAAGTGTGCAATAGATTTTAGAAAATAAAATAAACTTACCAAAGTGTAATGCACAGATAGAAGTAACTAGAGGAGTGAGCAAACATTGTTGAAAAAGTAGAAAATGTCAGTATAGAAAAATTTCAAAACTCAAGGAATATTTTTTCAAAAATAAATAAATATTTTCGGAATATCTAACGACTAGCTCTATTTTCGATCTAGAAGAATCTAAAGAACAGTATAAACAAATCATTGTAAGGTAAAAGAAAACCAATGTATACGACCTTCGTGGTTCGTAGAATCTGCAGTTAGAAGTTACTTCACGTCGATATCATTTTATCCATGTACAAGTAGAAAATATTCACATAGTGAACTCTAAAATGTAGCATAGGAAAGATGTGGCATAATTTTTAGAATATCTTTTCTTCATTGTTTAAAAAGAGTATAGTATAAAAATTCTATGGATTCCTTGCGACGATTTTGATGCTATGTTTGATTATGAAGCTAACGTTACGTTTGTCATGAACTCACGCAGAAAATGAAGTAACAAAACGTGTTGTAAATTCAAAATAACCATGAAATATTATGTTAATATTTTGTAGATATGGAGATAAATTATGACAATATGGCTTGGTCACATTAGAAAGGGAATTACATTTCTCGAAAAAGAAATATAACATTGCGAGAACTGTGAGGTGGTAATAGTCTTATGAGTTTAAGAAACAGAGACAGAAGCAAAAAAGTGACAGGCGAAGATTTATTCATGACCTCAGCTATAATTTATGGCTACGCCAGTCGCAAATGTAACCCCTTCAGCGCAAACTCCCTCGACAAAGAAACGTTAACTTCAATTTTTTGTCAACTAAATAAAAATGGCAATTTTGTTATCTCTCTATCACTATGTCACCAATATCCTAGTGAATCGATAAATGGAAAGTTATGTGCTCAAAACTTTCAGTTAAACAAATAAATAAATAATTTCTCTGTTTATCCATATTTTAATCATGAAATAACTTCTGCACTTTCTAAATCATTTTTTTTTTTCATTTCAAGAGATGTCAGTTACTTTCTCGCCTTACTTTGCAAGAATAGAAAATTAATGTAGTGCGCAGATAGGGACAATTTTTTGACAGAAATACTCTTATTGCCGAGATCTTGTAAGGAAAAGGGGTATAAATCTTGTTCGTATGTATAGCATATAACTTCCTCTAATATATTATGTAGTCAGATCCCATGTGTTAATGGTCCTTTATACCGAAAAATCGATAGACGGCAAAACATCTGTCTTTGGTCAATGTTAGTGCCTAAACCGATTTTCTCCAAATTGTTATTTCTCGGTCAATATGAACGGACTCGAGACCCTGGGAGTGAGACATTTTAATTTTGGTGGACGGAATATTCTCATCTACAACTTTTCACTTAGAAAAGAAACGTTCATTTTAAACATTTTGAAAAACTGCCAATGGGAGGAAAACACGTATGTGCAACAATGCTGTTTAAATTATCCGTCCTCGTTACAGATGCACCCGATCTCAGTGTCTGGATCAGGCTAGTAGAGATTTTATATGATTTACTTTCTGGTTGATAGGTATTGGATTTAAACTGAATGCACATTTTGGCTATTAAATTTTAAGTTGAAGTAAGATAGGCGAAGTCAGCGGCACGGAGTGAAGGGGGGCTCGCCGGTGCGCGGCGCGGCGGCCCACCTGGTTGTGGTACTCGATGCCCATGCTGAGCGTGTTGATGAGGATGGCGACGAGGATGCCCTGCTGGAACCACTTGTGCTGCACCGAGACGCGCGCACGGCGCGCCGGGCCGCGCGCCAGACGTCCTCACGTCAGCAGTTGCCGGCACCAGGTCGCCAGGCGCGGGCGCAGGCGCGGCTGCGCGCCCGCCCCCCGCGCCCACGCCGCCCGCCGGCCGCCGGCCACCTCCATGCGCCGTCGGCGTCGGCGCAGCACGCCCGGGTCCAGCAGCAGTCCTGCGCAGCGGTGCCCGGCCGCACGCCAGCCAGCAGCACTCGGCCGGCGCGCGGCCCCCGGGCGAAGCCAGCGCCTGAGCCCGGCCCCGGCCTGCAGCCATTCCAGCCTGCCGCCGCCGCCGTGCCGCCACGCCTGCGCATGCGCGCGCTGGCCAGGCCGCAGGGCGGGCCAGCGCTCGTTCACGGCGTCGGGGCGCCGCGTGCGCCGATTGAGGCCCGCGCCAGCACGCTTGTGTGCAGTTTTTGCGTTTGAATTTGGCTTCACGGACTTCAATTTGCTTACACAAAATAGTGTCTGTGAAGTCAAATGACAACTTGCCGCATGAGTAATAAACGTTAGCTCGGGCGAAGTTTTGATTCTCGCCTCGGGTTTGCATTTGGCTTCATAGACTTAATTTCGCTTACACAAACTAGTGTCTGTGAAGTCGAATGAATACTTCACGCTTGCCGCATGAGTAATAAAAGTAAGCTAGAGCGAAGTTTTGATTATCACCCCAGGTTTTGAATTTGGCTTCACGGACTTCATTTCGCTTACACAAAATAGTGTCTGTGAAGTCAAATGACGACTTGCCGCATGAGTAATAAAAGTAAGCTCGTGTGAAGCTATGCTTCTCGTCCCGGGTTTGAATTTGGCTTCACAGACTTCATTTCGCTTATATAAAATAGTGTCTGTGAAATCGAATGACGACTTCATAGTTGCCGCATGAACAATAAAAGTAAGCTTGTGCGAAGTTTTGCTTGTCGTCTCGGGTGTGAATTTGGCTTCACAGACTTCGTACCGCTTACCCAATATAATGTCTATGAAGTCGAATGACGACTTCACAGTCGCCACATGAGTAATAAAAGTAAGCTTGGGCGAAGTTTTACTTCACCCCCTGGGTTTGAATTTGGCTCCACAGACTTCATTTCGCTTGCACAAAATAGTGTCAGTGAAGTCGAATGACGACTTCACAGTTGTTGCATGAGCAATAAAAGAAAGGGCGACATTTGTAAAAGGGCTGCAAAAATGTCGGATTTAAAAAAAATCTACACTATTTTTATATTTGTATTTTGAACGAAACAATTTTACATTATATTATACAAAATGTATGATATAATGTAATCTAAATGTATAATATATGAAATCAAAATGTATAATATATGAAATCTCCGAAAATTGTATTACTTATATTTACGTATAATTTTATTTATTTTTTCGCCCCATAATTTAAATGTAAAAGAGAGTTTTTATACTTGCGAATAATAGAGTAAAAGTGTTTCGTTTAAAATTAAAATATAAGAATAATGTAGATATTTTTTTAAAAAATCCGATGTTTTTGCACCCCTTCCACAAATGTCGCCCTTGTGCGGTGCATCACTTGCACTACGGTTGGCGCGACACTGCTTCAAATAACAGAGGGCCAAGAGCTGGGTCGCAGTTATCTGGAGCTTCGTTTTCGATTCTGAAGCTCCTGGTTAGATAACCGCGTCACAGCTGATCAGCCGTCAAATCTACTTATATTTTAATAAGAGAATAACCATTAAGTTTTTGCCTAATTCTCACTGTACCAATGCATCTGATTTTAACCCTGATAGATTGTTAATATTATTTCGTTACATTATTGAAATTATCTCTGGAGTTTGCGGTAACATTTAAGATACTATCACGTTCGTTTAATCAATTTCCGGAAATAAAAGAACTGAATGTCTAAAGCACGGCTAAACTGATATTCGACATACATCGAGCAATTAGGTTCATGATAAAATCTCTTGTCGATGGAGGAAACGGAATGCAACGTGAATTACATGCAAAAACGCTCAATCATCATAATTTAATTTTCAAATGGAAAGGTAATATTAGTACGGAAATGCTAGTACTACTCGTATGTATCTTCCAAAAAGGGTAAAGCATATCATCTTACTAACCAGTGCATTAAGCGTTTCTCGTTGTATCACGAAATAATATATGAGTGTACATTTCTTTTTTCAGCAAAAGACAATGTCAGTACAAATACATAATATCTAATAAACACATTTATTGATTAATGAATATTCAATTTTATATTACTAGCGCTACATTTGTTGCGGTTTTGTTTTAGAAATATTTCTTTTTAAAATGAACATCGTACATCGATAATTTTTTTACATTACAAACGTGACTACTTAAGAAATAACGGGATTCTTAACCAATCAGTGTTTTCTTAAAATAAGTGGTCACTGATGTACGTCATAGTCATGGAATTAGTAATTCCTTAATTGGAGAGAAACATAGCAACGTGTGTTTGTTTATGGGCATGCGTTGTGTCCCGTACAATGTGTTACCAAGTCATCATTTTCTCATAGTACAAGTTAGCGCAACGTCAGAACATAACCTAAACCGGTAAAAGCAGGTGTAATGAGCTCTTAATGGAGCTGTCAACTTCCTTAATACGATTGGTCACTTGTTGGTCACTCGTTGCTCACCCTTTGGAGAGCAAGGGATGTTTGTGAGTAAGAACCGGTCTCTTAAAAATCACTTATTTTATGTGTCAACTATGAATTGGGGGAAGGATGAAGAGATGTGTCGCAAGATGACGTAGGGTGATGCAGGATGACACAACAACTCGAGAATGGTGTAGATGACGGAGTATTTGTTGGAAGGCGATGGAATTATTGTAGAACAGACAATGCAGTTAGCGCAGAGGCTTCGCGACGGGTGGAGCCAGGTGCGGTAGGGTACGAGTGGTAGGCCAGAGTTATGTGAGATCAGGGGGAATATCACGGATAATGCAGGTAGCACCTGTCGTGTCACTCCCGCGTAAAGAAGAACAAATAAATAACAAGAATCTACTACAGAACTTTCAACATAAACAGTTCATCTATCTTTCCTTTACGCTAAATATTATCTCTCCCAAGGGTGCATTTGACGTCATTCATTCTGTTCTAATTACTGATAAAATAAAACCTTCTGATAGTATTCTTGCTATCTCTAGAACAAGTTGGCTCCATTTTTTAACTTTGCAATATATTGGGAGAATATTTCTGGTTTCCACATTTTTTCTTTCATTTATTCTGTGCTTACTGCGACCATTTGGAGCATACTGTGACACAAGGCCCCGTTTAGAGTCACGTGGCGAGAAAGGTTGGCTGTCTCTCTACAATATTTTGTTTTGTAGCTTCCTGTTTTTTATCAAGTCTCGGGAGTCTGTACTTTCCGATTTCCTATGCGAGTTACCGGCAGAGGCTGCGTTTGGAAGTGAGGAGACTTGACGACTAGAAGATATTGCTGAGATTTTATGACTGTGTAAAATTTCACATGAACAAACTATCAAAATGAATAGCGTTTGCTATACTCCACAATGGAAAAGGTGTTAGACTCTATCTCACATTTGACGAGTAGATATGTTGTGACTGAATATGTGAGGAAACATTTTCTAAAAATGATTAATAAGAAAATGTAGAACTTTGAATTATCTCGACAAATTGCAAAAACAAAGTCTTCAATATTTTATAAAGAAATAGAGAGTAGTTTTATACTATCTTCTTTGTTGCGAGGTTCAAGGGCCAGAAATATAGTTAGTTGCTTTTATGTTCGATCATGCAATGATGTACGCAGAACTTGTATGATGCGGCAAATTTGTTTTCTCTGCCTTCCATATTAATGCACAAGAAGAAAACCTATGTTTTAGGAATATTTCAATCTACAATTTAATGTTTAGGGTTGAACATTACCACTTTAATTTACAACTCCACCAGAATGGGAAGGTTATATTCACTTGTTCAAGAACAAGAACATTATTGGGTATTGTAACACTTCTACATGATATATTCTTTTACATTTAAATACTTGATTTAATTTTCTGAACTGTTCTCCATGACAAATTTATCAGAGTAGAATGAAATTGTTTCTGGATTAATAATATAAGTCTTACGCAGATATCTAAACACAACTATCACCTAAGTAAGTCGTTGCTATGATACAATATCGTTAATAGCTAGAGAATACACATAGGTATAATAAGTAACTTCATTATAAAATAATTGAAGTAAGATAAAATGCCCTACGGTGTACGTCTTTAATTGACCGTTTTATATTTGAAAAAATGAGACGCGTAGTAAAATTAATATCAAGAATACGAATCTGTCAAGATTACTCGTCTCCAATACTCCATTACGTTAAATGACCTTCATTAGTGGTTACAAAACGACGGACATTTCTCATATAGGCTATTATATCGTTTTGAGTCACCGATAACATCGATATTATGTGAAAACATGTCGTCGACTTCACAGCCACTCGTATGCTTGAAGCCATTAGCGATACATTTGATTACTATCACAGCGGCGCAATGGAACGTTGCCAACGCAGCATGTAATCGATAAAAAAAACATCTATGTTTTTGAAATCAACAGCGCAAAATCACACAGCCTACACCATTCATACACGAAAACGACATGTCGCTATTTCTGTCTCCGTCATCACAGGAGAAAAGAGAATTTTTCAGGGAATCGTAACGGTATTTACTTTCTTTTTCGCCGAGGGTGTTTCTGGAAGCCTTTGAACGGGTCGACAGCAGAGAAATAAATTCATTTTTGTGCAGACATCCTTCTGACCTCAAAAGATAGTTTGTGTGAGAGGAAACCTCTTCGATTTCCCGAGGAAACCGCTTCAGCGATGTAAATTTTACAACTTGCAAAGTCTCACTCTAAAAATGTTTTGGGCTAAAAATTCTCATTTCATTAGTCAATTAACCTACCGTACCTTCGTTTATACATAGTGTGTTCAGTTCTCCGTCAAAATTGGTAGTGATGTTGAAAGTAAACGTAATTATTTTCCCCTGCAAACTTCCCTGTTCTATTTATTTATACTTTTTAGACCAGTTACGCAACAAGCCCGAAACCAAAATTGTGCATTGCAATAACCACACTTCTTTTCTTTTCATTATTCTTTTTCATTTAACACTTTATTTTAAATCTAACGAGTTCTTTGTTTTATACTTTACGGAATGTCACACATTTCATTTTATTGGGATTATTTTATGGCCGTCCTTCACTTTTAATGGGCGTGCGAAGAAGGATTAAGAAAAGGTTAAAAAAGGAAAATAACAGGAGCTGTATTGCTATGCACTGATCTATTTATTCTATCTGCATATGCATATGTATATGTATATGTATATGTATATGTATATGTATATATATATGCATATGTATATGTATATGTATATATATATATATGTATATGTACAGTATATGTATATGTATATGTATATGTATATGTATATGTATATGTATATGTATATGTATATGTTGTGCTTACACACATCCGCCACATGATTTTCATTTTAAAGTTATCTCCTAAAAGAGACAGACGAATTGATGAAGGTAATTTCTTGACATGAAACCTAAGTGTGACACTTTTGGAAAGACGTCTGAATCGATAAAATCTCAAATATGAACGTTAAATTTAAACATGACAGTAGGTGCATGAATTACGGCTTGAACTTTAGAATGTGATCAATATGTGTTTCGAACTTTGATGCTGAGATGAACTTCTGGCGGTTGTGTTTGGGGGATATCTCAAACGCGACAGACAAGCGTACACACAGCACTCGTAATTCATTCAGCTAACAACTTGAGCGATGGAGCTATTTCGCTGCTTCGAGCAAGGAGAGAAAACGTGGAGCCGACAGGAATAGTCATATTCACAAACACGAACTTAATTTAGAGCAAGAAATCTGGCCGAAGTAAGTCCACTCCTCTCTTATTTCTCATAGTTTTACTTCGTGTTTGGCCATGAGTGAAACTAGTTTAAAGTGTGACGTTGCTGAAAGCTAACTCTGCCACTCACGTAGCGTGATTGGCTTTCGCACGCCATTCGGTATTCTTGGAAGTAATATCAATTTCTTCAATCTTTCACGAAATCTGTAAGTAGAGTAGTGAAGTTCAATGACTTTATGATTTACAAACCAATTAAGACAGGCAATTTGCCTCGTAATTATGTGGTCAATTCACATGTTTTACAGATCTCAATATTGAGGCTCCCCGGTGACAGCTTTTTCAGAATCATTTGAGTGAATTGATAATTTACATCTCTCTATAATGAAGGAAATGTTTTCAGAAATTCGTAAATTATCAGAACTCATTTTGAAAAGAGAAATATAATATAAATAATTAATGATTTGTTTTTAATGTCATAAAATATAAACTGTTCAGCATTGAGAAAGCTTAATAATGTCTTTTACTGATCATGCTGATAGTTTAGAACAAAAAATTAGACTTAAAAATATTAAATCGATTGTTTTGAAATGTATTTCACCCTGGACGAATTGCAACATATGAACTATTCGTGTATGAGCCAACACAACACGCACTTCGCAATCTCGTGTTACAAAATCTGTATTATTATTAAAATTACTGATTGGAAACCTAAAACCCCGACACATGTAATTTTCGCATATAATATTTCTGTTGCGGCTATGAATTTAATATAAATTAAAAATAATATAATAGATATTAATTGTTATTTATTAGAGTTTTCAACTGATATGTTCCAAAACAGGCACTCAACGTTTCGTTAGTTCATTTTTGTGCAAACGTCAATTTTTTGAGAAAAACATGGAAACATTATTATATTTCGAAAATGTTGCCGCAATTAAGATGTTGCCATCCGCTCTCCAGCACATTCGCGCATCTCACTTACTCGTTCCCGCGCCGTTGCGCATTTGAATGGGCCACTACGGTGCACCGATTTTTCCTCGTCCCGTGCAGCACCAGTTAGCGTCACGAACCACGTGATCACAACACGGGCACTTCGTTTGAACAGCTCGACCAATCTGGGGCCGCCACGTTGCAAGAAGAGTTGCGGCGCAAGAAGTGTTGAGAAAGATTTGGAATGTGGAGTAAAGTGACAATTTTTAACGAAATGTAACACGTTGACGGTGTAATTGAAATTAAAGTTGAAATATTAAAAAAAATGTTTCTTATATCCGGTTACCAAAACAATCTTCTTACATCCAGTTACCAAAATAAGCTTCACCTGTTAAGCCTGTTTTACACGATCATTTTTTCATCAATTTTCGCCGGTACAGAAAAGATACAGGCCAGACAGGATGTAATATGTACGAAAAAATGACGCAGGCTAATTTTTCGGTACAGATTTCATCCAGTTTGACTACCGCGCTCCTGGCGGCACTTTACGGGACTTTCTCTAATTTGTTATGCGTGTGGAGCGATATAATCATTTTGTAGTTGCCTGAGAGCGTTCTGATGTGTTGAATTGTAATGTGAAGTGGTTATGGAAAGATTAATAAATTATGCACTGTATTCTAATATTGTCGCATCCGAGCTCAGTCCTAACCTAACCTAACCTAACCTAAATTCATTTGCTACCACAGATGCAATGTTCAAATGTTTGAACTTCAGCGCTACATGCGGCGTCCGGAGGAAGTATTTTCTTCATGATTACGTACAAAGACAGAAATGACAGTGTAAAACTCTCATCCAGTTTCAGCACCGAAACATACTGCGGAGAAACGAACGTCCTTTTTCCATCCATTTACTGTACAGAAAAATGATGAAAAATTGATTCAAAAATGACCGTGTAAAACAAGCTTTACAACTCATTGATACAGATTAATGATTTTTAACAGGTGGAGATTGTTTTGGTTTCTGGCTGAAATATTGTGGCGCGAACTGGTGCCTGAAGTTGGATACGATGCGTAAAAGCCCCGTTCCACTGCTGAGACTGGCAGGCCATTGGTGAAAGCCGAAAAGCCGCACTCACCTGCGGCGCCCTTGGAAAGCGAGGAGAAGAAGGTCGCAGCGTCCAGCTGCGCCGCGTGGGCAGCGGCGGCGGAGAGCGCTCCGGACAGCGCCAGCAACTCCTGGCACGTCAGGCGGCCGTCGCCGGCGAGCGCGGCGGGCGCCTGCAGCCCGCCCAGCCCAGCCGCCGGCGCCACCGGCCCGCCAGCCGCGCCGCCCGCGCCGCCCGCGCCGCCCGCGCCGCCCGCCGCCGGCGCCGTGGGCCACAGGTTGCCGTCGCCCGTCTGCGTCATCTTCTCGCTGGAGCACACGTTGCGCGCGGCCGCCTCCGCGTGCAGCACCACCACCTGCGGCAGCGACACACGCGCTCCCGAATCGGATCGGATCGGATCGGATCGAATCGAATCGAATCGAATCGAATCGAATAGTATCGTATCGTATCGTATCGTATCGGATCGGATCAAAATAGTTCCTTAGTATTGTATCGCCGGTCAAGAGTTATATTTGGAGGGGAGAAGCAAAATAAATTTCTACTTCCATTATTCCTACAGAACATCTTATGATTATTGTACTATGAATATTTAAATAATAAACTTGTGATGTTTACCCCATTTACCAACGAGCAACGTTAAATGGTTTTAACAAATTTGTTACTTTTTTTAAAAATAAATTGTTGCGTCTACATCGCCGCGACGCGTCTCTAAATTCCATAAGGAGCGTTGAGCGCAGTGGAGTAATCCTCCGTTAATAAGCGCCCTGTAGGGGCCGCTGTGTTGTCAAGTCACGTCAGGTCAGGGAATCACCGACAGGTAGCGTCTTCGCGCTCACGTCTCACACGCGCCCGGCGTCATCTGTCCATCGGCCAGAATTGGGAAGAAATGAGGAAAGGGGTTAGGTTTAGGATGCTTCAAAGGTGTTGATCTTTTAATCTACTTAAATAAGCAAATGTCGAGTTTATGAAGCAAAAATAAAGAAACATTATTCGTTTAATAACAATCAAAACTTAATTTCATTCATGATATATCTGTCTCTCTTTCTCTCTCTCTCTTAATATATATATATATATATATATATATATATATATATATATATATATATATATCATATGAATCAATTTAAGTTTTGATGGTTATAAAACGAATAATTTTCATTATTTTTAATTTTATTTGCACACACAATTTCTACAGGAGTTGCAACAGAACTGAATAAACGAAAGGGTATACTTTATCAGCTGTGCGGAACAAATCAACGCAGACAGGCGAGGCAGTTGGCGGGGATGCAAAGCAGCCGAGTATTGACTGCTCGCAGAGGCGCAGCCTACGATGCCGGGACCGAACTTCGGCTCTCTGAGATTTCCCTCCATCGATTCAAAGTGAACCATGGGACGTACAGTGGTTCAGGATGGACAAAATGCACAACAACAAACACTGAAACGAATTTATTTCGATATGGAATTGAAAACATAATCAAAGGTTTTAATACTGCTTTTTGTTTCATATTTGATTAAAATTTGAAAATTAAGGAACGAAAATGGCGGTTGTGGAAAAAATAGTTTTTTTTAAGAACAGAACGAACCTTTTTTTTCGAGAAAACGCAGCTGATTATTATCGTTATACAACCAGCCTGTCTCTTCTGCATCTATTCAATTTTTGGACAACACGTGGCGGAGAATATTTGAAGCATCGTATACTATTTTGAGAGTGATGTTTACAATATGTGTGGTGTTGATTATAATCTAACTTTTCTTGAACTTTCCTTTCTCATACTCATAAAAATGTTAAAATTATATTTATACTGATATGTATGGATGATTTAAAAATTATAATCTATTTCATAATTTACTAATTTTATATGTATATAAAATATACAAAATATAAACACAATATAAATATATTGTTATAAACATGGTATATTGAATTAAAATGTCGAAAATGAAACCCTGATATTGAACACTTGAAATTTTAGCATTGGACTTCTGACGTGCATTTAAATCAAATGACAAATAAAACAAATGAACGAAAACCTGCAAATATCAGAAATTGCAGATTGTTAAAATTGTTCAAGTTACGTTTTTTTAAAAAAAGTTTGCTGCTTCGCGAGCTTCCCGACCTGGCCCACTGTTCGCCGCGGCGCCGCGTTTCAGGCCCAGCTGCGCCCCCTATTTCCTACATCTTCCCCACGCACGCTCCCTGTCGCTTTGACAGCGCTCGCGGTACAATTCGCTTTTGTTTATGCTCTGTGAGAGCCTCGCGCCGCGCCGTCGCGGCCCGTGATTTGTCGACTTGGATATTTTGCCTACGACGAAATGAAAAACGGCTGTACTCTGCCCTGGTGGGCACATAGTGAATTGGAAAAGGCTTCGGAAATAGAGGAGTAGAACACCATAAAATATTAATTTCAACTCCCAGGCGTGTATTTGGTTTCGTTGAGTAATAACGGAGAACGTTTTCAAATATGAAACTTTGTCTCTGTATTTTTATTTATAAATGTTAAATTCATTTGAATTGATGGAAAGAATTCAGTCTTAGTTTTAAGAGCATAAAAAGGACACATATATTTATAAATGATAAACTGTATGTGAGCGTTTGGTGACAACAACCGAATATTTTTGAAGCTTTGAACATTGAAAACTTATATATTTAAATTACTATTATTTGTTTCAAAATAGATATTTCAATTTTCAAAACAATGTATTAAGAGTAAGAATTGTGGGAATGAGTGAGTAAATATTTCAAATGGGATAACGGACTAATGAGTTAATTTATTACAAACAAATGGTATCACTTTAAATTCACCATCACCAAATAATGAATTACTTTACATTTGTATTGTATAATTTTTTTTAAAAGACTTAATTTTTTTTAAACAAATAATTTTCTTCAGCTTCCGGATCAATGACTCCCATCTCGATCAGTTTTGTTGTCCAGTTTCCCTGATCCATTGACCAAATGCTGAGATGGCCTCTTGTTTTGCTTCTAGACGTAAATATAACTTCACTACGTGCACGTTTTGTTGAACTCTCTTTTTGCTTCTAATGGTAAGAGTAGAGGTAAAGGCAAGTTGATATTTTGTTAACAATGCAGAAAAATCATACCTGCAATTCGTTTACCGCTGCAAATACGTTTTCTATAACTCAGTAACGAAAATGACTATTTTTGAAATATTGCTAATCTTGCGATTTTTAAAATTTATTTATATTTATTTATGTTAAACTTTTACTTATCTTTCAACTATTTATAGTTAAAATGACGGAAAGGGATTCTGAAACTCAAACAAAATGCGCATATAATTTCTCCCCCTACGTCACATAGAGTTTTTAGTTTTTACTATATTTTTGACTGAATAAATCTAAAAATCTGAATCCAAATCACTTTTCCCATGCAACAAATAACATAAGCAAATATTCAAGCAATTATAAGAGCAAATATGTCCTCCGGGTAGATCACTGACAACGTGCTCGATTTCCGTGGCACGATCCCGGTTTCGTTTCCCGGGCCAAATCAATCGACTCAGTTTCTATAGCGGCGGAACGAAAAAAATGCTCAGACAGACCAAGAAAGCTAGGATTCGGTGATGGGAATACGTTATGTGAGAGCGTAGGCTTCCGCGGCTGTCAGTATTTAATTGGCTGTCCGGGTGACGCCGCGCCCATGGCAAAGGTGTGGTATTACGCCCTGAGGAAGGTCGCAGAATGGCGACCGACGACACCTTTGCCATGGACGCGGCGTTACCCAGATACCCAATTCAATGCGGAATACGTCCTCCTCGCCACATATCGCCCTAACCCCCCCAAAAATAAAAACAGGGGCCAGGCTTGGGAAGTTCGCAAGCTGACAAAAGTCAGATTAATCTGACCATAAAATGCAAAATTCACACATTCATGTTTAGAAAGTTAAAACTACTCAACGAACAAATTTGTCTATTTTAGTAACATTTCAAATTTCAGTAATAATGAATGTGTTATTTTACAGCTATATCCTATTTACGTCACTAAAGATAATAACCTCTGGAGTTACTTCTGGTCTATAAACTGGCAGAGTTATCTTCTTCCACTTCACATTTTCAACAATAAAAGTTTGCAGAGCTCTACCCATTTTTATTTGCGCTTCATGAAAAATTATAGACGAAACGTGCCTTGCTTCTGAATAGCGCATTACTTGCAGGTATTGATTTTCAGAAAATGCACTTTTGCAGTATGTTTTCCTATAAGATAGTGGAGGCGAGATAATAGGTAAAGACGATGGTTATGAAGTCATGCTTCAGAGACTATAATGGTTTAAGAACATGGTGAGTAAGAGTAGACCGCCGCCCCTACATATCATTCTTATCAGTCTATTGTTAATTAACTTAACAGACAATATCACATTTAAATGAGAAATCGTCCAGTAAATTGACATCTTGCCAATTATTACTTTTCTAACTAGTTCAATAATCAGTGTTTATCTCTGTCTAAAACAAAGTTGTGTAAGTTACAGATGAACCAATTTTAGTTACCTACAATTTCTTGGATTTATATCCTCCCGGAAAAGTACAATAACTATTAAAATATTGGAAAACTTCACGAAAAAGAAAAAGAAGCATGCTAAATCCAACCCGCAACACACGGTAAGATTTTTTTAAAACCATATATCGTAAAATAACTCCTAAACGAAGCGTTCTAGGACATTGAAAAGTAAAACATTGAGGCTTAGGGCCTCAAACAAACGTTTCTGACATCGTAATCTATAGGATGAGATCTTCTTGAACATTCTCTTACATTTTGGCTGGTGGGAGAGGGGATGGGGGAGACGAAGCGAGATAAAAGGAGATGACGGGCGGAACAACGTCTGCTGGGTTCCGCTAGTCTTTTAATATACAAAAATGTATGAATGTGTGTACGTGTGTGTTTGTACCACGGTTAGCGCGATTGCACTCTCATTTGATCGAACGCTTTTGAGGAACCGAGAAAAAAACACGGGATATTTCGTGATGTTTCTCCAAATTCCCTGACACCACAGAAAATGACCTGAAATGATGCATCTGGCACGCCATCTAGGCGGCAATGTGGCCTGCCTCGAGCGGGTGGAGGAGAAAGGGTTGGATAGGAGCTGCAGGGCACGCAGGGCTGGATGGACAAGGGTTCAGGGCGAACGAGGAGGACTGGTTTTATGAACGAACGCACATTGATATTATCTCAAAAACTCAAGAAATAAATTGTGATTTTTTAGAAGTTTCTAAAGCTATTGTAATATCTAATTCTAACATTAATCACTGAAAAGTTATATCTAAAAAAATGCATATTTCATTTCATGATAGATTTTTCCCTGAGTTATGTGGATTTTTAGAGATGTACAAAAATTACGTAATTTTAATGTATTATCAAATGTTGTGAAGTACACTGAAGTAATATGACTTATTCAGAAAAGAACTCCAAAAGACAATCCAACTTTTGGTCGGCATCGTCAGGGAAAAGTCGTCCGATTTCGAAGATTTTACGTCTTCGAAACGTTCATAAAGTAGAAGACATTTAAAACATTTGTATTTTTTACTCTATAACAATAGAAAATCAGATTTAATTTTGCAAAAATATCTACATTGACATAAAAAATATCTCATTTTTAGTGTACTTTTTCAAACGGGAAATTTTTGTTTAAAAACACAGGATTAGAGAGTTACTAAACCAGCGTCAACCATTCGGAAGCTGCGTGCCGTTTCGTCCATGAATAGTTGAAATGAATCGAATTGATGCCTTATTGTACGTGGCGAGACTTGTGTCATCAGGTCCGTACTTCCCTTTGACCACGCAAATTTCGCTACACTCCTTTCATCATCTATTGGAGAAAGAAGGTATTGCTCGTGGGGCGACGAAACAGGCGATTTTCAATTTAGCTCAGAGACATCTTTTAGGATTGAGAATATTTTAAGTACAGTAAATCTACTAAGGTGAGACAGCCGGCTTTACTTCTGCTTCGCAGGAAGGCGTACGAAGGATTTTTGCCTTTAAAAACTAACGGCTGCGATCAGATTTGAACCCCCGAAGTTGGGTATAACAGTCCGTTACGTCAACCGGTACATCATTGCCACCAAAATTTGGATCCCGAGGATTGAACTCGAGGCCTCTTACATGCAAAGGGAGCGCTCTAACGCTGAACTACATTCCTAGACGAATCCCCGGAAATGTATAGCATATGGATGCTTTAAATTCCCACTCTTTTCTTTCTAATATTGCAATTTATTCTTCGTGGTATTCAAATTCCTTGAATAAAGGTTAATTTTTAAAATTTGTTATTTATAAATGAATTTTAATTGTTTGAAATGCAATATAATCTAAAAGGCGATCACGTGTTGCCTACTAACGGTAAGTACTATATGCAATTTTTGTATTTAGGTATGGAAAACATAAAGAGTAATACTCTTTTTATTAAGCATTGCCAGATATCTCTTATTGTTGACAAGCGTCACAAATAATTCAATTTTATGTAATATCACGGACTAATCTGAACGCATGTGGGGTGTTGCAGAAGCTCCACGTCACAAATAATGCATTTTATTTTAAACACATTAACGCGTACAACTGGTTTTGTATTCTTCAAAGGAAGGTAAACAAACTGTTGAAAGGTACTGTTAACTCCAGAAGAGTAGGACAATACTATTTTATTTGGCAGTGATTATATTGGTCTCGGGACGCTTATAGTTCACACGCGGCAGCTTGTAGGTTAACCTACTACTTTTCTTTACTTCATCATTTTATTAAAGACATATTTAATGTAAATTCAAACATTTGTATACAATGAGCACGAAGATAAACAAATTGAACGGGATCTATAAATCACGTGATGTGAAAGAATTGCTAGCTCACAGGTACGCAGTGACATTATATCATTCGATGCGATTATGAAACGCAAAACAGAAATTGGAGGGTCTTTAGTAAGAGTACACCATTACGCGTGCAAGCAACATTGTGCTTTTGATATTTTCCATTCCATTGATGTACTTACGAGTAAAGGTATAAAAGATCAAAGTTCATTCTTTCAAGGTAAGTATCATGATTGCAAGCACTTGCAGAAACATATCCTTTAGCAAAGAGCGTTGCGACATCTAATAACATGCCGTTTCTTCACACCGTGTCCAACATGAGTAATAAAAAGCTTTTAAGAACTCAACTAGAGAACTTTCTTGTTTTTCTTGGTAATTATGTTGCGAAAGAGTAGGTGAGAATTGGTACCGGGTGCGTCAAATACTGATGGTATTAGTCCCGTAAGTGTAGTGTATGCTGTACTCCAGGATGCTGTCCTCCTCCTTCCCCGACCAGTGTTCTCCCAGTGGAAAGATCTGGCGCTTTTCTAGACGTTGCTTTGTGAAGTTCCCCTCTACAGGTATCTCCCTTAGTGAGTAACCGCCCCATCCTGGCAATCTAAGCTCTCGAATGGTCTCTTGGCATCAGTGGTAGAGTGGTAGTGTAGTACATGTGTGTGTGTGTGTGTGTGTATTTGTGTGTATATGCGCTCTCTAAAAAGCAAAGAGGAGGGAAAATGAGGAAGGAAAGATCGCCTATCGCCCAAATTGCATTGGTATTCGTCTAGTTTAAACGGAGAAACTAAGGAAAACTTTCGAGTAGAACAGCTGTCCGATAGAATTCACCATTGTGATGAAGGATCAAAAACTCGCCTTGTTCGGGATTCGAACCTTAGTATTTTCCGGTCAATGATGCCGTGGAGACAACGGTGCTTCGTCACTAATGCATAGCAGCCTGTATATAGCAAAGATCACGTGAGAAGGGATTCGTTTTCAGTAGATCGCTTCCACTGCATGTTCACGTATTTGTAGAACGCGTGGCGGTTGGATGTGCGGAGACTGTACAATAACCGGAGTTCGACAAATACCTGCCTATCGATCGAGTTATACCCACTGCGTGACTATGATGTGGGATTTAACAATGGACACGAGACAATAGTTGGTTAGCTGGCGAGGTAATGATTATGAGAATGCTGAAGGTTGGGAATTGGTTGAAACATTAAGAGAAATGGGAAAATGCAGTGAGTGTCAAAAAGCTAAATTGTTCTCCATTAACTAAATTTTATCTCTGCAATTCAAACATTTATTTCAAAATAAATGAGAAGCAATAAACACATTTTATTTTTTTTAAAAATATTAAAATGAATAAAGACCAGTGAATTATAGCAAATTATGACAATCTGTTTGTAAAATATACAAATGACTGCCCTAATTAACATCGTCAATAGACAACTTTCAGGATGTGAAGGAATGAAAGGAAATTAGTAATTCTAGAAACTTACGTTTAAATTTTTCGCGATGGAATCGTGTGTTGCTGCGTAACTTGTGATGTGAATTCTATATAGCCAGCTAACTTCTTTGTTAATTATAATCTGCCAAATTCTAATAATAATAATAATAATAATAATAATAATTATTATTATTATTATTATTATTATTATTATTATTATTTAGTAGCGGAACCCGACAGACGTTGTCCTGCCCTCCCTCTCTATCTTTCTTCTAACCTCTCCTTTTCTCTCTCCGTCTCTGCCACCGTCCCTATCCCTCTCTGTCTCCGTCTCTCTCCTCGCCTCTCAGTCTCTGTGTCTCTCTGTTTATTTCTCTCTTTCTGTGTTTCTGTCTCCCCCTGTCTGTCTGTCTGTCTATCTCTCTGTATCTGTCTTGCCCGGGCGAAATTTCCCAATCGCAGGGACACAATATGCAATGAAGACGCACTTAGTACTCGTACTTCAGGATGCGGCGGGTTGCATAGGGCGCCGTGTAGAGCGCCCTGTACTAAGCGTAAAATCACCATCAACACGCACCTATGTCCGCACGAATATGCACATTTCCATCGTAATATGCCTATATTATTTTCACAAGTTCAAGCAATAAGATGACAAAATTTTATCGCAATCAGATGAACGGCAGCGCATCAAGTACGAACAACAAACAAACAAACATTGTTTTTTATATATTATATTATCATTATTACTAGTTGACTAGTACACCGTCTTAAGAGACTTCCCAGACGATAAACTTTAGCCTTAAAACTGAATGTGCTGGAAGCGCTCATCCTAGCGTGCGTGCTAGCGGGTAGCCCGGGGGTGGAGTGGGATGGAGTAGGATAGAGTGGATTCAAGTGGGGGTAGTGGGATGGATCTGTGGAGTGCGTGCTGGAGTGGTGGTGCGAGTGAGCTTGGAGTGGGGTGGATGGGTGACGCAGTGGGGTGGCGAGGGTTGGATAGCTGGTCGGACAGTGCAGGTAGAGTGGGCTACGATGTGAGAGGGTTAGTTCGGAGGTTGGAGTGTGTGGGAGTTGATGGTGGAGTAGGCAGTGGGGTGGGAACGGTGTGGAAGGTGGGTGATTGGTTAGGCCAGTGGGTGGCTGATGAGTGTGGATGCGTGGGTTGAGTTGGTGGTGGTGGATGGGGTCGAGGGAGTGGGTCTGGGTGAGTGGGTGTGCGTCGGCTTGTGGGTGGTGTGGGTGTAGTGGGGTGAGAGTGAGGTGGAGTTGGATAGTGGGGGTAAGTGGGGTGGGTGGAGTTTGTGGAGTTGAAGTGGTGGTGGGTGGAATGGAGTGGGGGAGTGGATGTGAAGCGGTGAGTGGGTGGAGCGGGGTGAGGGGTGGAGTGGGGTGGAGTGGGGGGAGTGGAGTGGAAGTGGTGGAGTGGAGTTGAGTGGGCTGACCTCGGGAAAAGACGACGGGAGCTGCTGCGGCGCGGGCGCCGCGGCGGGCGACAGCAGGGCTGGTGCTGAGCGCGCGGGCCCCCGCCCCCCGCCAACCCTCCCGCCTCCGGAAAAGGTCGGCGGAGCGCAGGCGCTGCAGCCGCGCGGTCGGTCTGGCGGCGGCCCCACGGCAGGCTGCCGCGCTCGGCCGGGGCCCGGCCTCCGCACCGATCTCACACTTGCACTCAGAGAGGCGCGGGCGGACGGCGACTCACTCCAAGCGCCCTACATTGCCCACACACGCGCACGTTTCATAACAGGGTCAGTGGCGTGAAGTTAGAGGATCAGGTACGCTCTCCGCTTTCTAGAGTGGACACTCTTAGGAATTTTTATTAGAATTATTAATTATTTTAGTTTAGAGATTATATTTGCCAATACTTTTGAATTTTTTATCATTGGACATTTAAATAGAACTGACATGCCGCCAAGATTTATGTTTCTGATTATCAAATGAAGTACTAAAACTAGATTCCCCTAGTAATTACACAGATGTAGGTATGTGTAATTTTAAGTTAGGGCGCGGGTCAACATTAGATTGTGCCTCGGAGGGGCGGCATCAACTGACGCTAGAGGTCATACCCTGCATGGATTGAATTAAATTTTTAATTTTAAAGACTGCTCTTATAAATTATGGAGAATGCTTCTTTCCTTTAAATTTCTCGTTGAAACGATTGTGTGCTTTCCAAAAATCGTTTGTATCCGCCTCCCTACCGCTTCCCCTGGATTTTTTGGACTAAGAATATCATTGTCCATATTAAGTCCTCAGGAGCAGAGGTGAGGAGAGCTTCAGCTTCTTGTTCTTCTGTTCAAGAGATGGCGCTCTCTCAACCATGGTGTAGAATTCCGATTCTACACGCATCTCTCCATGGGCTGTCCTACTTATGCATATCGAAATAAATATATATAGTAATTACATTTGGAAAAGGTAATTGTCATCCAAACCCTATACCTATTATTAATTCCCAAACAAAATTTTAATAAGTGAGCTACTATAGTGATTATGGCTCGTCTTGTGTTTATTTAGTATACGGTGTGTCGAAGTTGTTCTCCAAAAAATGCCGACTGCTTTACACACGTACTGTGATATAATTTTTTCAAGGTGTGCCTGCAAATGACGAACCATTCGAATAAAGTGAGATAAACAGAACGACAGCGACTAAATGGAGAAGAAATGCAAAGTGATCGTGCTATTATTTAACAATGAAAAATACACTGTTAATGGGTCGGCATACTTAAGTATAGAGGAAAATAGGGAATTGAAGTGTAAATAAAAAACAGTGTTGTGAACGAAACCACGCAGTTAATTCCGGCATAGGTGCAGAAGTAAATTACAGATAGTAAAATAGAAAGCCGATCATGCAGAAGTAATATTATAATAAAGATGCCTAGAATCTCTGTTTACACAGTCACAAATTAGATGTGGTGAGGTAGTTGGACAGCTCTGCGTACTGCACGTGAGAGAAACGCATCTGGACGACTCTTCGCGCAGGAAAAGGAGACAAATAGAATAGCGCGAAGACAAACTCAAAGCGAGCAGACAATGTTCCCGAAGTGTGGAGGGCGGAGGCAGAAATTGTTTATGACTTAAGGTAGCCGTTCGGATGGCAGAGCCGCCGTTTAAAAATTTGCGTGTTTATGTAAATTATTAATTAGTACAAGTTATAAATGGAAAGAAAATAATAACTATATATTGCATTGTGTTGAGAGAATGAAGATGCCTTATAGTGCTGGACGATTTCAATCATAACACGACGTTCAAGAGGGGCGTGGGAACAAAAGGCAGTACTAAAAAGGGAACATGTTATAATCTCTATAATGTTATAGATATAAAGTTTTGTATAAATTAATTATTTCTAAATTATCATATATGTTCTATTAATAATAATAATACGCTGTTCATAGATTTTGCAACATTCTTTGAGTTGTCGTTACATTTAAAATGGGTTATGTACAGTCTGTACGTAGTTTGTGTTCTAGAGCTCAGAATATCATTATTACAATGTTTTTTTAACTTTGACGTACACATTAAATTATCCTTTATAGTGTAAGTAAGTGCTATTCCCAATCCTCTTGAGAAGGAATAAAAATAAGTTTCCTTCACCAAACAGATCATAATCCGGAACATGACGATGTTGCATCCTTCGCTATTGTCGTTAAATGCCCAAATAGTGTATGAAATAAAAGATTAGTGTGGAAAAACTCCATAAAAAGTATACCACGGATAATAATACCCCCGTGTCAGAATATTTTTCGTTGGCAATATATAAATAAACTTTATACAGGATTTAAGCTTCTAAATCAGGGAAGGACGTAGCCTTCGTACTCTCCGTTCACAAGCGATTGGAATACCTTCACAGCACATGTTGAGATCACTTTCTCACA